CACCTGGATGATGCTCCAGTCCTCTCCCCACACACCAGCTCTCAGTGGGGAGGAGAGCAGAGTGATGAAGCCAGTTCAGAGAGGGGGATTATTAGGAGGCCTTGATTGGTAAGGGCCAATGGGAAATTTGGCCAGGACACTGGGGTAACACCCCGACTCTTTTCAAGAAACTCCCTGGAATTTTTAATGACCACAGAGAGTCAGGACCTCTGTTTTACGTCTCATCCGAAGGACAGCGCCTTTTTACAGTCTGCTGTCCCCGTCACTATACTGGGGCATTAGGACCCACACAGACCGCAGGGTGATCGCCCCCTACTGGCCCCACTAACACCTCTTCCAGCAGCAACCATAGCTTTCCCAGAAGTCTCCCCTCCAGGTACTGACCAGGCTCACACTGCTGAGCTCCAGTGGGGCTGCCAGTGGTGATCTGCAGGGTGATATGGCTGCTGGCCATGGTTAAGAGTTGAACCTAAGTGAGATGCTACCGTCACACCCTTGACCACGGTGCTTCCCTCTGTAAGTCTCTTGCTGTACAAGTGCGACTCCCTGTAGTCTCTCGGCCCAGCCAGTGAAATAAAGGAATGCTGCTGGGTAAAGGTGCTCTTTTGTCCTCTTGCTGTCATATTTACACCATTGCAGCTTGTGGTACATAAGGTACTGTCTTAAATGGTAAAGAATTTCGGCATTCGGTCAAAGACTAGCAGTTTACTGAACAGCTTCCACCCCCAGGCAATAAGCCTGCTAAACAGCCAGCCTGCAGCTCCTTCAGCAAATCATCCGTAATAGCTACATGGACACCCAGTTTTCATTGTATTCGGCACACTGCACTGCTTGTGTCCAGGGTGTATGCAAGACATTATGTCCATCGCAGCTCTATTTATATTGAGCTCTGTCTGAGTTTATTTTATTCAATTTCTATTGCAATAGTGTCTATTAGTATGTAACTTTAATTTAGTGATTTTTTCCCCCCTGGTGAGCTCGCAGAAGAGAGATTTCATTGCCAGCAACGCTGCTGCACGCTGTATTGTTGTGCACTTACTAAATCGACTTCGATTGATTGATAGGTAAAGTGACCGATCCAGAGCTGACCAGTCAAAGTGAGGTGATCGAAATGTGGCTTACAGCTGCGGCTTTGTTATTCCACACGATGCTATCACATGATGCGCCCGGTTGTGGTCCGTGTCCCAGGACCTGCTGGAGGGATTGGATCTTTCAGCTGGCCTGGGGCATGTGGTGGGAGCAGGACAG